GAGTAAACACAGGCCTGACAGGAAGAATGGCCTATCTGCAGGGGGCTGGGAGCCTGAAAGCATGTAATATGATCTGACCTGTCATGGTGTGTCATTAGGCAGACAAACATGTGTCATAGGCAGTGACAGCCCACCTGGATTGGAAATGCGAGGGATCTCTGGAGCTCAGAGAGGGGGCTGCGGTCCTCGGCTCCAATCACCTTTCCGTTCCACTCAGGTCTCGAAGCTGCTGGCAATGCCTCTGATAGATGGTGTCTAGATTCAGGAGGTGCAGGCTGAATGGGCCAAAGACACAGAGGGAATGGCACAGTCAGGAATCCAGGGGTCAGCTCAAGTCTGGGCATCCCCGGTAGACTCGATCCCCAAACAGGATCCGATGACCAGGCTTTTTGAGGACCTTGGAAAACTGAGCGCCAGCCCTGTGGTTGTGGCCTACCCCATGCCCGGGGGCCATGAGGTAATGAAGCATCCGGAAGGTTCCCGTTGTTTAACCATCATGGACCTGAGCAGGGGGTATGGGCCACCATCTTTAACCCAGGAGGCTCAGGACGAGCCAGCCTTCACTACCCCATGTGGCTTGCCTGAATCCACGGGAGAGCTAGTTGGGGTTGAGAACGCACCAACCACCTCTCCAGGGGTCACGAATGACCTACAATGTGGAATGGAACTGGGTGCCCACTTTAGGGGCCTTGCGGTGTTCAGCCCTGTCTGGGAAAAGCAACCCGGGCCCCTGTCACTAGTCAGGAACAAACTGCCCTTGCCTAGTCTGACAGTCGAGAATGGTAACTGTCAGAGGGGCATGTTAGTGGTTCAGTTTTGGGAACCACTGGTGGGAAGAGACCCCCAGAGGTCTGGGCATGGGGAGACTGAGGCAGTGGTGGCCTGGTCTGCTCCCCAAGCCAAAAAGCAGGTTACGTCAGTCGTGGGTGCAGCTGGCTACGGTAAGATGCCTGGGTGCAACTACCATGGCTCAGCTGGACCTGTGACTGACCTAGCAGACAGGAAACTGGAGGAACTGGTGTCCTGGATGCTAGCAGGTAACCAGGACTGTTCATCTTGGATAAAGGTACCTGTGGACACATCTGGGAGGCGAGTTCCAGATATCGCCTGTCCAGTTTCGGTGCACACAGGCGCCACTACCTTCTGGCCAGATGTAGTCCTAGGCCTGAGGAAGAAGATGGGAGAGGGAAATCCCCTTCTCTACCTTGACAAGAAGCTACATATTAATATGTTAGCAGATGACACCCCTGAGCCCAAGTGTTTTGTGAACAGGTGGGCACCCCAGCAGTCGCCACGGTATTCGGATAGCCACAGCCGACTGGTGCACACCCGTGACCACTCACTTGGTTGGCACAGTAGTGTTGCTGGGGAGAACAGCTTCCTTCTCAGAAGGAACCTGGGTCTCCCGCAGTGCATATCACCCCAAGGTGAACCCCTGGGCACAGTGGCTCTGTGCCCTGGTCAGGCTAGCCCGCGGCAGAAGTGGGTTGCATCAGGAGGGAAATTGCAGTCCCCCCCCAAGCAACCACATAAGGGGGGAGGTGTAACAGCGTATACCCAGAGATGGACGCGGTTCAACCATTTTGGCTTCAAAGGAATTAACCCTCCTGACAAATATATTTCTCCTTCATTCTTCCCCCCTCCCTTTCTGAGAGTCCCAGGGACATTTGGCCAGTGTGTCACAGAAGGGTCATAGGAGCTATAAAGCCCCCCAAGGGGAGCCGGGGCCTCCCTGTCCAAAGAACCTGCAAATTGTAACACCTTGGAAGAGATAAGGCAAGCTTTCCCAAGAGTCGAAAGAGATTCCAACCTAATAAACCTAACTCAGCGTAGGTGACAGAATCAGATAACCTTTGTTAAAGTCCACTTTTCCCCTATGTCTCATATCTTGGAATATGAGAGACTTACATAAAAACCGGGGATATCGTCAGATTGGCCACGAGAAGGCGAACAGTTTGATAGGTCACTTGCCTTGTCTCAAATGCATAGGAAAGCAGAAAAATAGATCTTGCGAACTGTTCAGTATAGAATTACATATTTCATCTCTAATCAATCCTCCTACATGTCTGCATGATAATCTACCCGCGGGTAGAATGTCACTTGTGCATAGGAAAAGTTAGGAGCCCAAATATGAACTACACAAGATTTTGGCTCTAGTTTAGGTCGACACCCAGACCTCCACGCCCTACACGGAGTATTGGTCCTTGACGTCAGAGGCACCCCCTGCTGGGGAACTACAAATTGGGCTGTCTGGCCTAAGAGAAGAAAGTTGAAGACGTCTACCATTTTAACACCACCTGGGGAGACCTGTGCCCTTTTGCTCTGAAACTTGGATGTGCTAACCCAGGACTTTGGCAAGTACCCTAACCCTTTCACCTCTCTCTGATATCTCTTTGCTGTGCTGTTGGTCTCTGTATGTTTATATATATATCTTAGTTACATCTTTTCTGTAAATATTTTTATTGCACCCGTTTGACCTTTTAGTAATAAATCTTTCCTTCTGAAAGTGTTGAACTGTTTCTAAAGCGCTTTATTGCAATTTACGAATTCCTGTCTCTAAAGAGACGCTACTGTGTGTGTTTAACCCTCTGCATAATCGGCCTGCGGTGACCGTATTATGCAGACGATTATCTCAACCATTATAGTGTTTTAGCTGATATTGCCAAAGGAGGTGGTGGCAGTGCGAAGAGTTAATTGCGTAAATAACCTGACCCAGTAACAATCGCTCAGGCTGCCGGTACATCGATCTGTGGTCCATTAGCTGGAAAATCATTGTGCAGGGTGCAGCTGGGTGTGGCATTGTTACGCATGTGACATCGCGGTTTTAGATTGGCTAGTCCTTCGGTCACGGGTTTGGTGAGAAGGTCTGGGGTCTGACGCCGCGATCGTGAAACCCCCTTCTGCAAGGTCCGAGCAGTACTACAACTTAGTACTGCTTGAATCTTGAAGAAGGGGGTACACCCCAAAAGCTTGTCCTGAAAAATTGTATGTTAGTGCAAATAAAAAAAATATCACAGACGGTACTCAATTCTTTCTGTCACAAGTGCACTAATACAGCTACAATCACCTCAAGGAAAATTCTCTTAAGACAGAATACAACTTCCCGTGATGATGTAATGTATTGTATTGTAATGAATTCTTTCTCTTCCGAGCATGCGTGGTCTTGGTCACTCGGTTATTTACGAACAAATCCTGTACTGATTAAACAAAAATTGTTTGTCGTGTTATTGTATGAGAAAAATAATCATGCTTGTCCATTCAATTAATTTCAGATGAACTGCTGTGAACAGTTCTTGAAAGCTGTGTACTAACAATCAGCTTATCCGAAGATTGCTCACAAAGCATTTTTTTTTTTCATTCGATTTTCTCATCATGTGTACTAGTCATAACTTGCCCAATGTTCAGCTTTTTATGGGAAGTGCAATCAAGGGCAAACAACCATAAGAGGTTCAATGACACATGTGGCAAGAAGGAAAAGAAGCAGCCTGATATTGTTGTTGCCAGGGCAGATGAAGAAGACCCAGAGGATGTGGTCTGTTGTTGGAGTTTGACCTGTCATGTCATGACTGGCTTTATCAGATCTTTTAATGAAACTGTTGTTGTGGTGTGTCATCACAGCTGGCCACTAATTTGATCCTTCAGGTTTCAGGAATAAGAAGTGGTTTGTAATTGGACACATAGGCAGAATTTCAGGGAGGGTGGGACATTTGTAGCTGTATAAGTGTACAGAACAGGCACAGAGAAGTGGCTGTGTACCATTCATTTTTACCCCCTTCCTTCCCCATCTTGATTAACATCGCTGCAGACAATGAAGAGTTTTTTTCTTAAGGAAAACATAGGCCAACAGTAGCAGGTGATGATATCCTCTGGGTAAAAGATTGGAATTAAAGTGATAACAAGGAAGAGGGGAAAAAAGTCTTGGTGTTGTCCATTGAGCTACTCCCACAGGACAACCTGTTAGCTCTTCATATGGTGTATGGTGATGGATAATGTATGCCATTCAGTGATGAAGAGGAACAGCTCCACACTGGAAATTTTTTGATCAACTTGCTGTTCCTTGAACTCTCTTCACCAGACTTTTATGTTTGATTCCCAGAGAGAAAGAGTTCAGAGCATTCCTGCCTGCAGACAAATTTCTCTTTATGGTGATACATCACTTTGATTCACTACACACTTCTGAGCAACACTCTGCACCAAATCAAACAATTTTTTTTTAATACAACAACAATGGTATAATAGTAGTGGGTATACTCCGATCAGCCCTATCATTATGACCATCCACCTAATATTGAGCAGGTCTCCCTTTTTCCCCAAAACAGCCCTGACCCATCAAGGCATGGCTGGTAACCACTGATTTCCTAGACTTGACAAAGCGCATGTGTGTGAAATGCATTTTCGTGGTTACCAGCCAAGCTTGCGACCCCTACCCAGTGCCCTACTTCGGCTTCCTCCCCGGTTGCAGAGATGTCACTTCCGGAGCGCCGCAGGAAGGCAAATTTCAGGGAGAGTGGGACATTTGTAGCTGTATAAGTGTACATAACAGGCACAGAGAAGTGGCTGTGTACCATTCATTTTCATCCCCTTCCTTTCCCATCTTGATTAACATCGCTGCAAACAATGAAGAGTTTTTTTTCTCAAGGAAAACATAGGCCAACAGTAGCAGGTGATGATATCCCCTGGGTAAAAGATTGGAATTAAAGTGATGACAAGGAAGAGGGGAAAACCGTATGGTGTTGTCCATTGAGCTACTCCCACAGGACAACCTGTTAGCTCTTCATATGGTGTATGGTGATGGATACTGTATGCCATTCAGTGATGAAGAGGAACAGCTCCACACTGGAAATGTTTTGAGCAATTTGCTGTTCCTTGAACTCTCTTCACCAGACTTTTTTTTGTTTGATTCCCAGAGAGACAGAGTTCAGAACATTCCTGCCTGCAGACAAATTTCTCTTTATGGTGATACATCACTTTGGTCACTACCAGGGGCGGACTGACAAATCATGGGGCCCCCGGGCAATAGGGGATCATGGGGCCCCTGTGTCCTTGCCCAAACTCAAGAAAGCCTATGAAAAAGGTACCAGGGGCATCTCATGGGGCCCCCTACTGACCCCGGGCCCTCCCAGTGCCCGAGTTTCCAAATGGTCAGTCCACCCAGGCCCTCGGGCAGTGCCCGAGTTTCCAAATGGTCAGTCCACCCCTGGTCGCTACACACTTCTGAGCAACACTCTGCACCAAATCACATTTTTTTTTCCTTTACAACAATGGTATAATAGTAGTAGTGCATATACACCAATCAGCCCTATCATTATGACCATCCACCTAAGATTGAGTAGGTCTCCCTTTTTCCCCAAAACAACCCTGACCCATCAAGGCATGGACTGTAGTAGACAAAGCATCACACTGCCTACTGCAGCTTGCTTGCTTTCCCATAGTGCATACTGGTGCCATCTCTTCCCCAGGTAAGCGAGACACACACACCCAGCCATCCACATGATGTAAAGGAAAACATGATTCATCAGACCAGGCCACATTCTTCCTTTGCTCCTTGGTCCAGTGCTGATGCTACCATGCCCTTTGTAGGCACTTTTGATTGTGGACACAAATCAGCATGAGCACCCTGATCAGTCTGCAGCTACACGGCCCCATACACAGCAAACTGCAAAGCACTATGGGGTTTATTTACTAAAGCTGGAGAGTGCAAAATGGCGCCTATGGAAAGGGTAAAAAATGTGGGTTACCTTCTGATATACCAGCTGCAAAATCGACCATAAATTAATAAAGTGTAAAAAACAACACAAAAATAATTTGCGCTAGTAAATAAATAGATGTTCCAAAAAACAGTTATACCTGTGAACATAAAAATAAAAGTATTATCAATGTGAGTAATGAATATAAATACATAATTGAAAAAAGTTTATATATAAAAGTGTCCAAAAAAAAAAAGTCCAAAATAAGATGTGTAATACAAGTCCAAAGAAAGGTGCACAAAATTGTGACAATCCACCACCAAAAGCACTAAATAAACTCACCAGAGCTATTAAAAACTGAAGCATATGTTGCTCTGGGGGTGATGGTATTAGCAGAGTAATGAACCACTCATGGATGTGTCTTCAAGGAGTAATATTCTGCAGAACCCAGCTCCAAGCAGACCAATTTAAAAGAAGCAATGCTCTGTAATTAAATACCACTGAGGAAATCCACTTGTCCAAGAGATCTCCTTATTCATATCCAAAGGGGTTATGCCAGACACTCGGAAGAAACAACAAAAAAAAACTTCATAGTAAGTATTCTTAAAAACAGCTTAATTTATTATGCACTCATTGCACTTAACTCAAGGGGTGTCCCAGCCGACACCAGCGTTAACAGCGTATAGGAAACACAATAGAACAAACCCAGCCGCTCCATGAGGACGTCGATTATGAAACGCGTAGGGTGGGGCTTGATCGATGTGACGTCATTACCTTTCCCAGCGATCTACTGCTCATGTGCTGAGTGGCTGGGTTCGTTCTCATGTCTGCATAGAAACTAATTAGCTTTCAGGTTGTATTGCCAAAGCTTAACTGAACAAGCTGAGGTTAGAAGCTGATTGGTTTCCATACAGAAGTGAGCCTGATTTTGCACTCTCCAACTTTAGTAAATAAACCCCTTTGTGTTCTGACACCTTTCTATCAGACTAGCAATAACATTTTCAGTAATTTGAGCTACAGTAGCTCTTCTATTGGATTGGACTACAGGGGCCAGCCGTTGCTCCCAACATGCATCAAAGAGCCTTGGCTACCCATGACCCGGTTGCCGGTTTGCTGGTTTTCCTTCCTTGGAATATTCCACAAGGGCTGCAGTTTTGGAGATACTCTGACCCAGTCATCTATCAATTAAAATTTGCCTTGTCAAAGTCACTCAAATTCTTACACTTGCCCTAATTTTCTGCTTTCAACACATCAGCTTCAGGGACAACATGTTCATCTACTAGAAAAGAAATCTCCTTTGGGTGATTGTGCTTTATTTTGGCTGAGAAAACACTGCAAGAAAAATACTTTTTATACTGTGGGTTGATATGTGTCTATGAAATAGCAAGATATGTTATCCTTCTGAAGCAGTCATAATTGGATGATGAAATGGTGTGGCCAGATGACGTCATGGTGTACAGGAACCAGAAGTAGGCCATGTTGGTGAGGTATCTGAAGCAAATATCCATCCTTAAGGGGGAAACTGATTTCTTCTATTGTATGTGCACTGGATACAATGCACTTATTTTGTTAGTGTTATTTCATTCCTTTAACCACTTTCTTGCTGCCCTATAGCAGATATACTGCTACAGGGCAGCAGGGGTGTGCAAAATCACGTATATATATATGTGATATTGCATTTCCGGGTAGGACGTGCGAGCCATGCATGCACCCTACCCATGCCACCATTCGCAGCTGCAATCACCAGGTCCCAGCAGGTGCTTACCCGCCGGCGTCCGGAGATTACCGAGGATCTCCAACAGGGAGGAGGGCTGCTTTGTTTACTAACAGTCCTCCTCCCTGTCGGCTCAGGCACACTGCTCTGGATGGCTGTACACAGCACAGCCATCCAGAGCAGTGTGCTTACAGTGAAACACCAACACACCGCCCGCTAGTAAAACACTCCCTGCACATAGTTAACCCTTTGATCACCCCTCATGTTAACCCCTTCCTGCCCAGTCCCATTAGTACAGTGTCAGTGCTTTTTTTGACACCAAGTCAGTTCCCCCCAGTGTCAGATTGTCCCGCAGTCCCACTATAAATAGCCAATTACCGCCATTAGTTAAAAAAAAAAAAAAAATCCAGTATATATTCACCGCCATTTGTAAATGCTATAACTTTCATGTAAACCACTTCATTTACACGTATTGGGATTTTTTTTTAGCAAAGACATGTCGCAGAATACATTCTGGCCTAAATTTCTGACAAAATTTGATTTTTAAAATTTTTTTTACTGGACATGCTTAATAACAAAAAGTCCAAAGTATTGTATTTTTCTCAAAATTGTTAGTCTTTTTTTTTTATAGCGAAAAAATAAAAAACGCACAGGCAATCAAATACCACCAAAAGGAAGGCCATTTCATGGGAAAAAAGGACGTAAATGTGATTTGGGTACAGCGTTGCATGACCGCACAATTGTCACTTAAAATAATGCAGCGCTGTAATGCAAAAAATGGCCTGGACAGGAAGGGGGGTAAATCCTCAGGAGGGCAAGTGGTTAATAAACTGTTCATTTTACATGTTGTGCAATATGGTTCTTTTTGTTCCTTTGAGCATTTATTTGAAGAAATGGAGATTCTGGTCATGATAATGACATCGGCATAGCTGTATGCTCTAAAAGGGCAAGGCGCATGTTGACCTAATTTACAGGTCAAATATCTGAGGTAAACAGCCTCATTGGAAGGTGGTGGAAACATTATTGTGGTGGTGATTGATCTCAATGCTGGTGGATTTAATATATACATGGACTTTCATAAAGATCGAGGAAGATTTATGGTGGACTTTTTTACACTGTATTATACAAAATGTTGGAGGATATTATCTTTGTTGGCTCACTATATATATATATATATATATATATATATATATACCTACATTTTCTTATATATTTAATTTTGGATGTATAATGATAATTTTTGGGCCCCTTTTTTTGTATTTGTATTTTATTAGGTGGTTTTATGTAGTCATATGAGTTCACAGGTGTAAATAATTTGATTGCGCTGAGTTTTATTCAATTAAATATACTTTGGTGTGGGAACACATGACAATAGCTGCTGCAATCAAGCTGACACATTGAGAACAGATACACAGTAATTTTTTAGTTTGTTCTGATTTACATACGAGTGAGTGGTAGCGCGGGAGTTTTTGAATCAGTGTCAAAGATAAGTTATAACATTTTTTCAGAGGCATGCATAGAGCAAGCAAGAAACTGTTCCTTTTTCCGTTTGTTCCTGTTCCTATCCCTCAGATGATCTTACATCTGACTGCTTAAAATCTCCTGCATTTCTGTCAAAGTCTGTCTGGCAATATTGATACTGAGCTACAAAAACAGTCAAGAGCGGAGCTAACTAACAGCTAAAACAGCTTGTTAATTAGCAATTCGGCAATGGCAAAACTGGAGATACAAACATTGCAGATGTTTGGTCTAAGGAGTATAGGGATAAGAAGTCAAACAATGTCAATGGCATGTACAGTAAGTGCTGGCCAAAAACCTTCTAAAATATACTAATTGAATATGCCGTTGATTCCATAGAAAATGGGGTTATACAATTATGAGAAGTCTCCCAGCAGCAGTGCTGAAGTTGTCATCCCTGAAGCAGGGGCAGACTGACAACTCATGGGGCCCCTGTGCAATAGGGGATTATGGGGCCCCTGTGTCCTTGCCCAAACTCAAAAAAGCCTATGAAAAAGGTACCAGGGGCATCTCATGGGGCCCCCTACTGACCCTGGGTCCTCGGGCAGTGCCCGAGTTTCCAAATGGTCAGTCCGCCCCTGCCCTGAAGACATTGATAAGAGTGATAAAAGAGTTCAGCTGTGAAGGCTCTGTGCTTCTTGGGGGCCTGTATAATTGTGTGTAGACAGCCACTTACTGTACACACATTACCACTACAGTGCTTTTATATGCAGAATATTTTTTTTATTAATTTAGATAACAATACATTACAAAATATTGAACCCACCTTGACTCACTTCTTCCCACACAGTTCAGAAAGGTAAATTGCAGTGCTACAATCCCTATTCAACATATAGCAGGATGTGGATCAAGTGGTTGTGCCTGGACAAATGCTGCACATACCATCCATAGTTCCAACAAAAGTAGAAGTCCGGCACCGAAGCATCTTGAAATAAAATTATTAGGCTTTATTCTTAATCCATCAAGACATTACAAGAACCAATTCCTACAGTAAGATCAATGCATTACAGCCACCGGTATGGGCCTTAGTCATAATCATGCTGATGCTTCTACTTTTCTTTGAACTCTGGAAGGTACATCAAGCCTTCTAGCAAAGAACAATGAGCAAATTGAAGTACGAATTTACAGATAATGAGGCCAGTTTGGTTTCACCATGAAGTGATCATTTACTTCACCCATCTATAGGAATAAGGTTTGGATTTGGTGTGACCTTGATTTTGTGGTGAATCTTGTTCAAAATTCATGGTCCAGATGTGATGAAAGTGAGGTCTGATTAATCCCAGATTGAATAGAGAGAATGGAAGAGTGGTACTGAACACAATCCCACCCTACAAATTCCACAAAATGTATGTCTCCTGCAGGATCATGAGACCGGATGAGAGCAGATTAAAAATAGATAAGTATACAGATTTGTTTTATACAGGTTAGGCAGGATAGGTAGGAGTAGGAGTAGGAGGAGGAGGAGGAGGAAGGTAACAATTTTAACAATAGCTATAGTTAGGGTTTTCTTCCAGTTTAAGGAATACAGATCTGTGAGATTGAAGTAACGTGTTGGGTAGGTGCAACAGCAGTGAATGCACAGAGGCACAGGATACAGGAAACAGTTGTTTGCAGAACTAGTAAACAGTATAACAGCCTGGAAGGGAAGATCACCCAACCGGGAAAAATTGCAGTGGAGAGTCAGTGATGAGTAGGCCCGAACTGAAGACAGCACCTGTCAAAGAGGGTGGAAAGTGGGCCTGGCCAGAAGAAAATGTTGCTGACTGGACCTCTATAAATGTTAATTCAAGACCCTTGCAACAGAGTTTTTATACAGCTCCTGTTATTTTAGTTGACCCTGACCCGTCTGGTCTGGGATTCTATAGCTTGTTTTACCTTAGGGCTCGATAATCAACTTAGGATAGAGCCGGGTTAGGCTTCCAATGACCACTTCTGGATCATCAGATTAGAGGTCTGGTTGCATGTCAGATTAGAAATTGCTAGGGAAGGAGTAAAGAGCAAAGTAGATGGGCTGACTGAGTTCCAATGCCACACCACAGTTCCTACCAGTGAGAAGCTCTGTTCCAGGCTGTTTGGACAACAGTTGCAGTATCTCCCCATGACCACAGATCTTGTCTTCAAGTAACTGATGCAAAGACAGACATCATCCTCAGGGGCCTATGCAACTAGACCTTACTGTAACATTCTTTTGAAGATATCTCTTGTAATGGCTATATACTGTATATACTGTATATACCCAGTTATATGTACACAATTCCAGAACTCCTATTGGGCCCTTTGCTGCTAATACCTGTTTGTACAGTGGATATACAGTATGTACTGTTATTAATCTTGAGCACCATCACTTAGTTCCACCACCTACCCACCCTCAATACCTCTCCTTTTTGAGAACACAGAGCCAACTATCATTTTGTGGTGCTAAATAATTTGCATGGAATTTGGTAATGATAAAAAGAAAAGCAGAAAAATAGATCCCCCACAGCCAGCAGCAATAGACCCCACAGCAACAATAGATTCCTCCAGCAACAATAGACCCCCAAAACAAAATACCACCCCCCAGCAACAATAGACCCCCAGCAGCCAACATTAATGGACTCTCCAGCAGCTAGAAACAACAATAGACACTTCCCTCAACAGTAGATCCCTCACAGCAACAAGTGACCCCATCAACCCATCAACCATAGAAAATCCACCAGCAACAATAGACCTCCCCAGCAACAATAAACTACCACACAGAAATAGATCCCCATAAGTGACAATAGATCCCCCAGCAGTCAGCAACAAAAGATCCTCCAGCACACCCCTGCACCCCTTGCCATTACATACATTCAGTGCTGGAGGTGCCGGAACTGCATTCCCCTGCAAAAAAAAAAAAAACCCTGGACACATGTATAAACATTTGATTAATGTTATATGTTATATGCTGGTTGCAGTAGTTTTTCTGCTCCCAATAACTTTGATTAGATTACTGGTTAATTTCCCAGGAAGGGAAACCCTTCTGTTCACAGAGGTCCTGTCCTAGGTGGAGACACTGCCAATTTATTATCCAATACAAATTTCCAATCAGATAGTTATTATACAGGATTTATATAGCGCCAACAGTTTGCACAGCGCTTTACAAAATGAAGGTAGACATTACAGTTACAATACAATTTGGTACAAGAGGAAACAGAGGGCCCGGCTCGTTAGAGCTTACAATCTAGGAGGAAGGGTTAAGTGATGCAAAAGGTAATAGCTGTGGGGGATGAGCTGATGGAGGAAATAAAAGGCAGTTTACTAGTTAGAAGCAGGAAAGGCTTCTTTAAAGAGAAAGGTTTTCAGGGAACATGTAATGGTGGATAGATTAGAAGATAGCCAGACAGATTGGGGTAGGGAGTTCCATAGGATGGGAGAAGCTTGGGAGAACTCCTCCGCATGGGAGGTGGTGACATGGGAACTAGAGAATTGAAGGTCTTAGGAGGATAGAAGAGAGTGGTTTGGTTGATATTTTGAGACCAGGTTGGTGATGTAGCTGGGGGCAGAGTTGTGGATGGCTTTGTAAGTTGTTGTTAGTATTTAGAATTTAATTCTTTGGGTGAGTAGAAGCCAGTGGAGGGATTGGCAGAGAGGGGTGGAGGACACTGAATGGAGGCCAGTGGAGGGATTGGCAGAGAGGGTGGAGGACACTGAATGGAGGCCAGTGGAGGGATTGGCAGAGAGGGGTGGAGGACACTGAATGGAGGCCAGTGGAGGGATTGGCAGAGAGGGTTAGAAGACACTGAACAGTTGGTAAGGTGGATGAGCCTGGTAGCAGCATTCATGATGGACTGGGGGGGATAGCCTATGTAAAGGTAAGCCAATAAGGAGGGAGTTGCAGTAGTCGAGATATTACCAGGGAGTGAATTAGAAGCTTTGTAGTATCATTGGTTAAAAAGGGGCTGTATTCTGGAGATGTTGCAGAGGTTGAGACGGTATGATTTGGACATGGATTGAATGTGGGCCTGAAAGGATAGTTCGGAATCCAGGGTTTGGGAAAAAGATGGCTACAAATGTTTGCATCAACCACACAAATATGCTGACACAGCAAAAAGATTTATCATAAGAACATTTTTTAGCATTGCCAAAGAAACAAGTATCTCACCTGGCGGGGTGGAGAATTTCTTAAGCAGTATCAGGAAGCGCCAGTCTGCAGTTGCGTGATTAGGAAGGCAGAGAACATTTGCTAAAACAATTACGGCATTCACAATGCAAGGTCTTTTTATTGGCAGACTGTGCTGGAATACCCTCTCTGTGCATTGTTCCAGCACAATTCTGTCTCGGAATGTTAATTATATACACTTCTTATTACTCGAGTCTCTCTTTATGGCAAAAGCATTTTCACTTTGTTTCGCATTTCATATATATACAGTATATACTGAAAGTACAGTATTTATTTGAATTACTGTGTATACATTCAAATTCATGCAGCTTAAAGAAACCCTATCACAATACCATTAATTTCAACAAGAATTTTCCCATAATATTATATGAGTATGTAACATATTTTTACATGGAATTTACTTGTGAAAGTTTCTCTTGTGTAAAAATTCCAAAGCCCTGGGACTGCTGCCAAGTGTCGCCATCTTAAATGTGATATCAGCAGCCCCAGCAGATGTAGAGCTGTCATTCAAGTGGCACTATATAGTACTCACCTTTGCTCATCCCCTGGCAGCTACATAACATGCTGCCTGAACAGACACTGAACAGACACTCGCTTTTTATGGGCAAAATTACAGTATCTGTGAAATAGGCCCCCTACCCACTGATGTCTTTTCACTGATCCCCAGCTGCTCCTTCCTTCATTGCAACCACTAATGGAATACACAGTGTACACGGAGTCTGGAGGGAGCAGTGAGGTCACCCTGTAGTGATTGGCCCCTAGACCAGTGCAATGTCATTCAGGACTAGTTTATACAGTAGGCTCCCCCATACTGGGAAGCAGGAGCAGTGGGGGATCACTGAGCGATGAATAGGAGTCCTCATGCACGCTGGGCACCAGTAGCGTTAGCAGTATAAAGTCCCATTAAAAATTTAAGTTTTTCCGCTTTTTTTGTGTTTTCGCAATAGCGTTTAGTTTTTGTTTTTTAGCGCTTTTACACTAAACAACAAAAAATGTTGCTAAAAAAAACCCCGCATTTACCAGCGTTAGAGCCTTTTTACAGCTAAAAAAACTCCTCTAGAAACCCACTAGTTCTGGGGGTTTTTTTCAGCCAAAATAACCATTCCCAAAAAAAACACTGATTAACCACTTGCCAACGTGCTATAGTCGAATTATGTCTACAGCGCCGTTGTCCAGTTCTGGGAGGTTGTACACCCGGCGATCTCCGTGATTGCTGTGTCCTATTGACACAGCTGATCATGTGATGTGGTAAAAGGCCAATCATAGCGGCCTTTTTTACCACATGATCAGCGGTGTTTAACTGCCTCCCATATAGTAATATGATGGACACAAAGTGGTTCTCTCGTTCTGGGAGGACTTCATATGACGTCCTCCCATTCTAACTGTGCATGCACGACTCCCGGAGCACGCAGCACGGCGATCGGTGGTGCGCTGTGTCCCTCGGA